TTACAACAACATACTATTTGACAAAAAAAAACAAAAAACCAACAAACAACCCACATTTTCAATTTCAAAATTGGTTCTGAGAAACAGTCTAGCTTATAAAACACCGTATATCCTAAAATTAAAACCTATTTAGATTTTTTTCTCCTATCTCTGCTCCACTTCTGACTGCATTGCAACTCAGATTTCCCAAAGGGCTTCCCTCATCCACAGAAAAGCAAAGGGAGCCAAAACAACCAATTTGACACAGTAACCTCTTCCACGTTTATGTGTCTGAAAAGTCTCACACACCTTGCCAAGTACTTCCATTATGAGCTCTGTCCACCCACCGAAAAATAAGAACAATGCTCTCAAAGCTTAGAAGCCTTTTTATTGCCATTGACCTTCACACTGCTACCCCAGCAAGGATGATTGCCACGTTGATGCTGTGATGACCCTGAAAAGGGGCTCATCCTGTTTACAACATAGAGGTTCACTAAGAGTACGCCAAACTACGCTTCACATGAAGAAAGGAAGAAAACAGATAAGATTCTTCTGCTTCTCCACACCAACTTCACTATGAGCTATTTCAGTTAGCATTTGATCAAGACAGTGACAGGACAGTGGTCACTGGCTGAGAGCAGCATGGGGCTCACGGGATGCCAATAACCACAGCCTGTCCTACCTTCTCATTTAGCTCTAGTCCCCAGAGTGAAGAGTCCAAGAGGGATCCGGCCCAACCCCTGCTCAAGCAGAGCTATCCAGAGCAGGGTGCCAACAACCATGGTGGCTGATCTCCAAGGAGAGACCACAACCTCTCTGCCAGTGCTCAGGTACCCACACAGCACATAAGTACTGACTGGTGGTCAAGGGGAGCCTCCTATGTTTCACGGGCCTCTTGTCCCAGCATTGGACACCAATGGAAGATCCTTGCTTTGTTTTTACTGCACTGTCCATCCAGATATTTATATATGTTGATAAGATACCCCTGAGTCTCCTCCTGGCTGAGCAGGCCCAGCTCTCAATCTCTCCTCACAGCAGAGGTGCTCCAGTCCCATCACCTTGGTGGTCCTCCAGTGAACTACCTCCTGCTATTTCTTGTACTTGAGGACCCAAAAAAGGACTCCAGGTGTTCAGTGCATACTCTTCATGCATACATATACAAGTGCTAACAGTGACAGAAGGGGACATCTACCATTAATGCCCATGCAGCTTCAATGGCAGCAAGTGGAGCCTGGAGCACACCCACACTGCACACTGCGTACCTCAGCACACGCCAGCACCAACTACCATTCTGCATAGTTGGCAAGCAGGAGAAGAGTTTCAAAACAAGGTACTGCAGCAGCCACAACTGTGGACCAGATAATAGACACCAGGGTGTTTACAGCAACTGCTGTGCTGGGGGACAGCTGCTGGAGACCATAGATCTGGGCCTGCTACCAGAACCCTGGGTGTGCGTCAACTGGGAGAGCAGGTCAATTCAGGGTCAGTCACTGGCTTGTCTGGGGCCAGTGGCATGGTGCACCCACGTATGTGCAGAGGGGTCTGAGTACCAGCAGCTGGGCCAAGGCTGGGCACCTTTGAGGTTCACATCCAGCTGCTTGGGAGACCTGGGAGAAGCTACAGATGTATGTAGTGTACAAGAACAAATGCTGCAAGGATCTGTGTCGCACGTGGGCTCACCTCTTTGCTCAAAAATGGGTTTTCACCCTGATCAGCCAGAGGGAAAAGAAGCATGCTGCATGGACCATTTACAATCCTCCGAGTGCTGCGGTCTCTCTCTCTGCTGTTGCATGGCCAGTTACACGTGTTCATACAATGTCTATTTATACCTAACAGGAATATGTGTTTGGCTTCAGTTCTGGGCAAACAGTGCTGCAGCACCCTTGTATACAAGAATGCAGGGCAATTGCGTTCCACCACCCCAAACATACAGCACTTTCACAGGAGAATCAAAGTTTTAAGTACAAGGAGTTATTTCTAAATAACATCGCTTGTGAAATCTCCCTTCCAAAGACACAAAGTTTACTTAAGCTTAAGTATGCCAGTTGTAACTGCTGCATCGAGTATCTCTACATCGACCTAAAAGTAAACCTTACTCAGGAGGAAACTTAAAGGTTTCCAGCACCAGTTAAAAGACGACTGCAGCAATATGCCACACAATCTCTGGGCTGAATTCCAAATTCAAATGAGAACAAACGCTTAAAGAATGCCAATATTGATCATTAGGAAAAAGACAATGTAATGAATTGGGAAATCTTTCTGCACATACTTCTCTGTAACAACCTCAGTGGCAAACAGTTGTCCTATCCTTGATAAACTGTGCGGCCCTTCTGTCTTCATTTTTTCCTCAATTCAGAAGGATGCTGACAAAACACTAACAATGTACACTGCTAACTCTGACCATCCCCCCCCTCCCAGGACAGCACTGCAGTTCAATGCGGGACAGGAGCATGAGGTTAACTCCAGCAAGCTGCCAAAAGAGCAGAATTAGCTCATATCAGTTGCAAAAAGCTGAAAAAACACATCTGAGGAGTAAAGTAAGTAGAAAGAAGCAGATAAACCAGAACAAGGAGGAAACCGGATAAAGGAATTTTGAAAGTTACTTTCCTCATTCCATAGGAAGTGATCATCAACAACTGTTTCTCAAAAGTTAGCTGTATGACTCAAAGGAACTGACTGCACGCTGCAGTGCCATCAGAGCACACAGGTGTGTTTAGGCTGCTCACAAGGCTGTGAGCTCTGGTGCTGAGCACCCATGCAGATGACTCATAAAGAGTCTACAAAAGGGCAAGTTTTCACCTTGTCTAGACAAAAAGCAAACTGTGGAGCACATAGACCTCAAATACTGCTCACAGTACAGTAATCTTGCTCTGCCAGCGGAGTTTTACTAACATTGTAAACCTGTGGATATATGGCTTCCAGAGGAACACTAAACACTCATGGCCTCCCATGGGACTCCTTGGGCCTGAGAACTTTGGAGAAGATAAACCCAGCAGATTCCAGTTTACCTTAGACTTTCTGCTATACGCTCCTTAACCTGTATAAAGAAAGTAAACTGAATAACTTGGAGATAAATGGCTTGGTGATAGAACTGCAACAGCTGCTACCAAGACTTTGCACATTGAGCAGTTAGGGAAATGACATCAGGACTTCATCTTGGTTCCAACTGCATGTTCAGCCCTACCCTTTAGGGCACTCCTACAGGTCTCTGCAATCCAAGTGCTCCAGCCAACCCTCAGGGGTCCTTCAAAGAAAGAATGACTCTAAGCCTTGAGGCAAATTTCTGCTGAGGAGGAAAGAAGAAAAAAAAAAAAAAAAAAAGAAAAAAGAAAAAACCCACCACAAAACAAAGAAAAACATTACAACTGGTTCCATAATAATGATCTAACATTCACTGCAGTGATTCCGTTCACACTGAACTTCCCCATTGCCATTCCCACACTGACAACGTGCCAGATGTTTTCTTCTGCCTCACTTTACATGTGAGGGAGGGCAATACAACGGGCAGCCCAAGACCATGGAGGCTTCCACAGCCATGTCTTGTACACCGCAAAAGTGTGGATTTTTAAGCAGAGTCCATGTCTGCTTGTAAAGAAAAGACACCCCAAGAACTTCTTGGAATGGCCTGAAGTTGCACCAATGGAGGTTCAGGTAGGATATTAGGAGAAATTTCATCGCATAGTGGTGATGCCGTGGCACAGCTGCCCAGAGAGTTGGGATGGGATCACCATCCCTGGAGGTGCTCAAGAACCATGTGGATGTGGCACTGTGGACATGGTTGGCAGGCATGGTGGGATGGGTTAGTGTTTGGTGGATGATCCTTTCCCAGTTTTAGTGATTCTATGAGTCTTCACAGAATGGCCAGGGTTGGGGAGGGACCTCAAGGATGATGAATTTCCAACCCCCTTGCACATGCAGGGCCACCAGCCTCCCCATTTAATACTAGACCAGGCTGCCCAGGGTCCCATGCAGTCTGGCCTTGAACACCTCCGGGGACAGGGCATCCACAACCTCTCTGGGCAGCCTGTTCCAGCACCTCACCACTCTCTCTGTAAAGAACTTCCCCCTGACATCCAACCTAAATCTTCCCTCCCTCTTCCTAGCTCTACAGTCTTGAGAAGACAAATGGGTCCCGACGCCTAAAGGAGTTCTGAGACCACACAGCACCTCCACGGCAGCTCCACATCACCTCAGTGTTCACCAAACTCTGCTTTTCACGCTCTTGCCATCAGAACAGCGAGCGCTCTAGCTACAACCCTGACCACAACTACTCCAAAGAAAAGACATCTCTAAAATCTTTCTCAGAGCACTTTTTAAGTTTAAAAAAAAAAAAAAAAAAAAAAAAAAAAAAAAAGGCTCGCACGGGACAGGCAGAGCGGGCAAGGCGGAGGCAGAGCTCGCAGCGCGTCTTCTCGGCCCGCTCCCCCGCACCTCCGCTCGCAAAAGGAACACGAGCTCCAGCGCCGACACCGCCGCGCCGTGCTCCGCACCGCACCGCGCAGCTCCCGCCCCTCCTCCCAACCCCGGCGCTGCGCACCACTCACAGCCGATCTCCCCCTCCTCTCCATCCCTTTGGAGCCGGCGGCGGACGAGGAGCTCTGCGAGCGCGTCCAGGTGCGGCGGGAGCTGAGCGCGGTGGGCTGCAGGGAGATGAACTCGGAGCTGGAGTCCATGATGGCGAAGGGCGGCCCGCGGCGAGCGCCGCTGCTCCGCAAGACCACCATGGCGGCGGGATCCCTCCGCGGAGACGGCTTCCTGACACCTTACCCACCCCCTCGCCGCCCGAGAACGGCCTCGCCGCCGGCACGCCGCCGCTCCGCTCCCCGCGTTTTCGGAGGCTCGCTGGGCTCGCTCTGCCCGAGGCCTCTTTTTTCCTCCGGCCGCGAGTCCCAGCCCGCCTAGCGGAAGGACACGTGCGTCGCGCTGCGTCAATTTGAGTTTCGGCGCGGAAACGCCGCCGCGCGCCACTCGGGCGCCACGGGATTGGCTAAACGACGCGCTCCGCTAGCAGGGGGGCGTGGCTGCCAGCAGGGGGGGCGTGGCTGCCAGCAGGGGGCGGGCGCTGCGCCGCCGGGTGGGCCCGGCCATGGAGCGGCCGTCTCCGTCTTCGTACTCTGCGGCAGTGCCTCCCCGAGCTGCCTGTGTCTACACCAGCTGCTATTGGTAAGGGGAGAGCCGGGAAAGGCCCCGAGGACGGGAGGTGATCGCAGTATGGCGGCGGGCGTAGCACGGTGTGGGCCCTGAGGCAACGCTGGTGTGCGGCGGTGGGGCCGCGTAAGGTGGGGAGCCGCCCACAGAGGAATTGAGTCTGTTGGGAATGTGGGACGGAGGAGTAAAAATCCCGCCCTTGGTGTTTTACAGCGAAGAGAACGTGTGGAAGCTCTGCGAGTACATCAGGAGCCAGGATCGCTACCCTCTGGAAGAGTTCTATGCTGTTTTCATATCCAACGATAGGAGGATGGTGAGCGGTCGCGGTCTGAATGCGGCGGAGGCCGTGAACCCCGCCTGGGTGCTCCCCCGCACCCTTACACCGCAGCCTTGAAGCCACTGCCCAGCGCAGTGGAGATGTGACCCCTGGCATTCCAACCCCTGGCTGCCCTGGGGGGACGTGGCCCTACGGCCCTTCAGAATCCAGGATCAGGTGTGTTCAGACCTCCCACTGTGAGATGTGGTTGTCTGATGTGCTTGGGCTAAAAGGGAGAAGCGTGGTGTCCCTGTAGGTGGTGGGGAAACCCTGCCTTGTCACCTGGAAGTTGAGAGGAGTGATGAGATAGTATGGTTCATAATAGTATCCGATGCTCCTAAGAGATAGGAGCTAGCAAAACTGTTCTGCCTGCAGCAGTGAGAGAAGGCAATGCAGTGGATCGTTGAGATTCATCTGTACGGAGCTGCAGTGTTTCATTTCAAATCACTTAACTTTCAGATTCCACTCTGGAAACAGAAGTCAGGGCACGGAGATGAACCTGTTGTCTGGGTAAGGCCTTTTGTTTTCTTTATTTTTTTTGGTATTTGATAGCATGTTTGATAATTGACGTTTGCACAACCATATGTGGACAGTGTTGTCCACATTTCCTGTAACATCTGTGTATCAGTAAAATACTTTTTCAGTGTGCAGACAGATGACTACTGGCACAGCTTGCCCAGAGGCTGTGGAGTCTCCTCCTTAGAGATCTCCAAAAGTCTCTTGGATGTGGACCTGTGCATCCTGCTCTGGGTGTCCCTGCTGGAGCAGGGGTTGTGGCACATGGACACTGAGGTCCCTGCAGCTTCAGACATTCCATAGTTCTGCATCAGCGTTTATTATTTTTCTGCAGCAGATTCATTAAGAGCCAAAGTCCAATGTTCCTTTTTATTGCTCATAGGAAAATAACAGTGAGACAGAAATCTTCAAATGACTGACCTTAACTTTGGTAAGAGTGTATAACAAATCTGTGAAAATTACCATCTGGATTTGTTGGGGCCACCAGCTCTGTAGAATCTGTAGTAGAAGTCTGTATTTGTAAGTAAAAGATGGATGTAAATACCTACATAGGGTTGATATAGGATTGAAAAATGTAAGCATTACATGTCTTCAAGATTCGGCATTTAAACTGCCCTTAAGTGGTGTCTTTGGAGTGTAGTTTGATTGTGAATGCAGTTCAGCCTCTTTGGAATCTCTTTTACCTATGCAACATTACAGAACATTCCACTAAAAAATCCTCTCTGTTTTGTGTGGCTGTGTTTCTGAAATTTAGCAAAAGATATCTGCAAGCTTCCTAACTGCCATTGCAGAATCATTAATTCTCTCCGAAAATATTTCTGATATTTCAGTGGACTGTGGCATTTCACAGATTGGCCTGGGTGGGAAGGGACCTCAAGGATCATCAAGTTCCAACCCCCCTGCCGCAGGCAGGGCCACCAGCATCCATGGTTAATGCTAGACCAGGCTGCCTCATGCTACCTGGCCTTGAACACCTCCAGGGACGGGGCATCCACAACCTCTCTGGGCAGCCTGTTCCAGCACCTCACCACTCTCTCTGTAAAGAACTTCCCCCTGACATCCAACCTAAATCTTCCCTCCTTCGACTTCAAACCATTTCCCCTTGTCCTGCAGTTATCTACCCTTTCAAAGAGTTGATTCCCCTCCTGTTTATAGGCTCCCTTTAGGTACTAGAAGGCTCCTTGATTTGCTGTCTTCCTCAAGGAGGACTCAGAGCCTGTGCACTTTTGGCCATATCCTTTTGGTCACTGATGGCAATAATGATGAAACCAGAAAAACAGAGAATTTTGTCTTCAGAGCAGATGTATTTTCATTCCATCCTTTAGCAGTTCAAATTTGATTGTTGATACTGCACAGCTATAAAATAATAATGACCAAAAAATATCTGCAGAAAGTCTGCAAATACCTTCCATAGTCTTGCAGTAGCGATATTTCCATAAGTACACATAATCACAACCCTAGCTTTGAGCAAATTTGCTTGTGTTGAATATGAGCCCTAGGTAGCTGAGAGTTGATGGGTTTAGTCTCAGACTTGTGTAACTCCTCCATATTGCTGAGTGGATGTCTCTCTCAACACAGGTTGAGATGAACCCTAGAAGAATAAATTCCCCAGTACTTACTAAAAAGGGATTCGCATGGGACTTTAAACGTAGAAAGAGTGAAGCTTTCTGGCTACAGAAATCTTAGATCTTACACAGCCCATGTTATGCAGGGAAGAAATAGTTGGCACTAGCATTTGCTTATAAAAGCTTGTCTTTTAAAAAGGAGGGTTGATCGCTGAACCGGGCAGCAGCCCAAATCAGCCTGAGCTCAGATGGAGTTTTTGTAAAGCTTGTAGTTCATTTCTTCATGTACTTTGTAACAGACTTTTCTAAATGTTGTTTTTGTGTACAGTTGCATAGGTAAATTGGTCTGTGAAAATAGCTTGCCCGAGATCTTATTCATTCATTTCTCAGTCTTCTTTGCTTAGGGTTGTGCTCGAGTGTCAAAAGACAGAGCTTCAAACTTTTTGTGAGCGGATGTAGTGTTCTCTGTAGTAAACTGCCAACTACCTTCAGTTTAGCTTTGGAAAGCTGCAGTGTAATGAACAAGGTAAATAACTCCAGTTTCTCTAAGCCTCCGCCATGCCTGTGTTACTTATGTGTTAAGGAATAAAATAGCTGGTATAAGGAATAGTTTAGCTTTGGTTTGGCTGTCCAGGCTTAAATCAAAGGAGACCGTAAAGAAATGGGAAGAATACCAAGGTTTACTGAAGAGTAACAAGGGTGAGGTGCCATTAGGAATCCTCTCTTCTGGTGGCAGAGATGTCTGGGCCTAAATTTCAAGGACAGAAATGATGTAAAGGAAAGGAGCTGTAGCTTCTGCTTTTAGGAGAATTTTTTTTTTCCTCTCTCTTTCAGTTTCTGATAAACAGCTGTTTAAACGATGAAATTCTTCTCCTCAGGACTACCATGTTATCCTACTTCATGTTCCGGGTGGAGAGCAGAACTTCATTTATGACCTTGACACTGTGTTGCCATTTCCGTGTCCTTTTGAGATGTACAGCGCGGAGGCCTTTAGGCCGGATGACAGCCTTCATCCAGAGTTTCACAGGTGCTGACAAAAAAAATGAAGACCACGGATGGTATTTCCTGGAGACTTAAGTTGAAGTTCTGTCTGTGGATAGACAGTGACAGAAGTTTCTGCTATATTTCAGGAAGCTAAATGCACTGCGTTATGTCTCTAAAGCTCTTTACCTAGAGGTTGCCATCTTTTAGTTATCGAAAGCCCTTCTCTTCCCTGCTCTAGTTTCTTGGGAGCTAGTTTGCTGCTTGGCACAGTGTTTAAGTAAATTAATGCTATTCAAGAGGAAGAAGAGCTCTTGTTCAGAATGCCTAATTAATAACTATGACAAACAAATATGTGACAGTGGTATTACATGCACACATCATTTGATACAATTTTTCACCATCTGAATATTTATTATTTATTTATTTGATGCATTTATTTGATGTTTTTCATTATTATTGTTTAGGAAGATCAGAATGATTCGAGCAGATTTGTACTTGAAGACATTTGCTTCAGACAGATCTCATATGAAGGATGCAAATGGGAAATGGCAGAAACCTCCTCCTTCATACCCTTGCATTGAAACTGCTGGTAAGATGACAGAGTTGTGAAGCATTTGTCTTTTCTGAACACACGAAGTCTAGCGTGCCTCCTGGCAGTTACCATTGTCAAATGTTAATTACTCAGTTCTCATAAACTGAGCAGAGAAGAGTGGTTTTGTGCTATCATTACAATGGGGAGATGAAAGAAAGGCCCACCTAACATGTTTGAAGTTTCTCTACCAGATGAATAGACCTAAGGATGCTTCTGGGGCAAACGGGCAAGTCAGCCAATTTTTCCCCAGGCACTGAGTGTTAGTTTAGATAGTAGCCTGTGGTCCAAGCACAGAAATAAAGAGTTGCCATCTCTTCTATTCTATATGGATTCTTAAGCCATACTTTCCACACAGCATGTCAGCTTACACTAAACACGTTTGCCAGACTGGCTTTATATTTTCGTTCCTTTTGTTCCCAGATGGAGAAAAGCATAAAGTTTAGTTTTGCCATTGTTGTGTGTGTTTGGTTTTGCTCTTTCTGCTTTTTAAATAATACAATGCTATATATTAGAGAAGGTAGGGTCAAAGAAATACATTTTATATTTAAGGGTAAGTTTATTATGGTTTTAAGTTGCAGGGAACTTAATTCACAGTCTTTGCAATTGGCTTCTAAGAAAATTTTGTGTTTCAAACTAAATATAAATGAGTTATGAATGGGCATGAGAGCACAGATACCATTTAATGGAGCTTTAGGTGTTTTTGGACATTCCAAGTTATAAAGTATCTCAAACCCTGTCCTAGTCCTTCTTTTCAGTAAAATGATATGTAGAGATGAGAGAGGAAGCAGAGAATGCCTAACCTAGCCTGCAGTGCATGCTTCACTGCTAGCTGAAGCCTCTTAAGTGCTGAGGGTATTTTGCCTGTGGAAACCTTATTGTGATAGTTGAGCATTAATGAAGGTGTGATGAGTGTTGACCAGGCCAGACTGGGAAGAGATAAAAGCTCCTACTCAGGTTAAAACATTACTGCACTAAGTACAGTTGTACAATGATCCAAGCAGTTGTAGATATACCTCCAGCTGCAATGAATGATTCCGTAGCTACAAACCCTGTAACTCTCCTCTTGACTGCATGGCTGAGCTTTGCTTTTCTGATGAACAACAGCCAGGTGGTATCAGCCAACCTCCAGATTGTCTCTGTGATATTGGTAGAAACTTAAAGGTATATGGATCTTCATTCCTTCCATTCTTCATTCCTTAGTCTGTACCTTACTGCACCAGAAGGAACATTCACAAGTCATCCAGTCGGGCTCCTGCTCTAAGCAGGTGTAATGAGATCAGAAGTCTTTAGGGCTCTCTAGTCTAGTCTTGAGCAATGCCAGGGACAGAGTCAGCATCTCTCTAGGCACAATGTTCTAGTATTTGACCAGTCATGGAAAAATAATACATGTATATTTTTCCTAGTATATAATTGGAATTTCCCATATTCCCTGGTGAGTTGTGTTGCCAGACTCCTCCAAGAAGGCTCTGGGTCCGTCCTCTAATCCATTACCTGTACAGCAGTATGCTCCCTCCTTCGTCTTTTCTCTTGAAAGCTGATCAGGTCTTGTTCTCTCAGCCTTTCCTCAGATGCTGTGTTCTCCAGGTCTCAACAAACTTGACCAGAAGTCAGTGAGGAGTTTAGGTCTAACAACTGTAGAGCAAGCATGTGCCTAACCTGTAGTGAAATCCTAGCCTTGTGCTTCAGTGATGCAGTTCTGTAGAACAACATGAAGGTTTAGAAAACATTACTGCCAACATGGGGAACTGGTAATTTCTTCCTCTAGAGACTGATAAAGAAATAATTTCTCAGCATAGTTTTATCAGGCATAAAGTACCTTTTTTTAATCTTGTTTGAAAACTGTGTGGCTGACCTTTTGTTACCAGAAAAGAGCCTGAAGTATTAATGTTGACATCCATGCCAAATTCCATTGCGGATAATTGTTTTCTCCCCACCATTTCACTTAGAGTACTCTGCTTTCCACGTTAATTTATGACTGTAGATTAAATTGCTCATATTTCATGTTAGGAATGACTTCAATTTAATGGCTGACAGAATTGGCTGCATATATTGTTTTAGTGTCAGTTTATTTGTGAAGCATATCTAGATCAGAGCATTATATTTTTATTTGTTATTGTGTGGCTGTCATTTAGAGAAGCTGCACTCGTAAGCCCTTGAGAAGATGATTACGAAGGCATGCAGGGTTTCTATAGTGCTTCTGTTTGAACGTGTCTTTGATGTTGAACAAGGGCTTTTTTAAAAGAAATTAAGGATTATTTTAAAAACAAAAAACAACCAAGCCCACAAAAACACACACAAAAAAATAAAAAAGCAACCCAGACTCTCATCACGTCTCATCACATGCTAATGCAATTTGCTTTTGCAGCTGGCTCTGCCCTACTTGTTTGCAGAGCTAGGCCTGTGTGTGTCCTTTTGACAGTGTCTGGCCTCTGCTGTGAGTGCCAGGTGAAACTGGCAAACCCAACTGGTGAGCTGCACACACAGTGCTTTCTCACCCAGCTTTATGCTCCAAGCAGTTCTGCTGGAATCCTCATGTTTGAGCTGTAGCAGACTGCTCTGCCCTGTCCCACCTGAATGCCAGTGGCTTCCTGCTGGAAGAAGACAGAAGAGCCTGGTATTTCTTCTTTTTTCTTTTTTTGAACAAGATATAATAACTTAAGGCACAGATCAATCATTCTTGGGCTCTCTAACCCAGCCTGGTGTTCTCTCTTGCATCTTCCCTCTGCAAATTAATGAGGTTTGGTTCTTGCTTACCTGATGAGATCAGCGCTCCTTACTGCAAGCCCGTGTAAAACACAGCTTGCAGTGTGTTTCACAATTACTCAGAACAGATGGTTTTGCAGCTTGTGTACAACTGTTAACATCACTCTTAACACTGAAAAGCCTTGTTTGAATTTCAGTTCTCCCCAAGTGTATGGTAGCACATGTGAGGATTGATTTCTAAAGGCTTTTTTTCCTTTTTAGTTTTGAAGGTAATTTAAGTAGGACGGTTGAGAAATTCTGGAATTGCTTTGTTACTTATCTGTGCAACAGGCAGACACCAGGCAAAAGTCTGCCATTTCTGCCTTATTTGCACTACCAGGTAGTGGTAGAATCCTTACTACAAGCCAGAAGGGCCGGGGGAGAAAAAAGAAGAAAAGAAAAAAAGACCAGTATGAACGTAAGAAGCTCATGTGCACAATAACCTTTAGTTCCTCTCATTTGGGATTAGAAAGAAAGACATCGAGGCCTTGGAGCGTGTCCACAGAAGGGCAAGGAAGCTGGTGAGGGGTCTGGAGCACAAATCTTACAAGCAATGGCTGAGGGAGCTGGAATTGTTCAGTCATAGAAGAGAAGGCTCAGAGGACACCTTATTGCTCTCTACAACTGCTTAAAAGGAGGTTGTGGTGAAGTGGGGGGTCGGCCTCTTCTCTTAGGTAACAGCGACAGGATGAGAGGTAATGGCCTCAAGTTGTGCTGGGGAGGTTCAGGTTGGATATTAGGAAAAAATTCTCCTTAAGAGTGGTCAGGGGCTGGCACAGGCTGCCCAGGAGATTGGTGGAGCCAGTGTCTCTGGAGGTGTTCAAGAAATGTTCAGATGTTGTACTGAGGGATGTGGTTTAAAGGGGAACTATTGGTGGTAGGTGATCGGTTGGACTGGATGATCCTGGAGATCTTTTCCAGCCTTGGTGACTCTAATTCTATTCTGTGAAAACTTGGATCTGTCAAGCTAGGCTCCTACTTCATGAGCTTTTTGCACAAGTAAAGAATCGAGTAGGATAGTCAGTAAATGTACAACTAAGAACAGAAATTTTGTAGTAGTGGGGTGGCTTCCTGAAGTTACACAGCTTCCTGTGAACCAGGGAGGCTTTGGTTCAGTCTTGCTCGCCTGCTCATGCAGAGCAAGTCCCACATCTGCGAGCCAAGCCAAGGCTGCAGCACCGCTTTCTGCCTCCCGTCGGCAGAAGCCACAAGTGTATCCTGGCTAACTGATAGTAAACAGGCCATGTCTTTTTTTTTTTGGGGGGGGGGAACACTGTCAAGTTTCATTAAAAAAAAAACAAAACAAAAACCAACAAAAACCTGTGCAAGAATCCCAGGATGCATCAGTTAGATCTTATTGACTGTGAACAAAGTTGTTTTGGTCAAAAAGGAACTGCTAACTTTGTTCATGCACAAATGCAAACTAGCATGATGCATAGGCATCTGAGGAGGACTGACCGTAATATAAACCTCAAAAATACGTATTTTAAAAAGCTGTGCTGCTCTTGACTTCGTGTAAATCTTACATAAAACATGCAGCTCCTTGCTTCTGTGGAGGAATCCTCTTGGTTTGTCAGCTCTTGCACCCAGATGTCCCATTTGTAAATTCTGTTGTGTATTGTTCTTTTATCTGCCTCAGGAAAAGGGCTTTCTGTTGTTCTCATGTGTTTTTTTGCTGGGCTGCTTCCAAAAACTGTAAGGGCTAACATAACATGCATGGCATTTGGAGATGACATATGAGTAGTAAGAATAGGGGGACCTTTATCTCCTGAAATGAATAAAACATGAGAGGAGCCTGTTTTCCAATGGATAGTTGTCATATTGCTTCAGTGCCACCTGCTGGTTGGTTCTGAGACCATCCGTTGCTGACAGGAGGGTTCTTGTTTGCTGGTTAAAGCAGCTCTTCCTTTTATTAAACTTCAGTGACAGACTGTTTTGCTCTGCCACAGTCCTCCTGAATGCAAGAGAATATTTCACTTCCTACAGATGTTGTGACAGCCACTTTCAAGCTACTAACAGCAGCAGCTGTGTTTGTAACTAGTGGAACAATCCCCTTTGGGCTTCTTTACTATTCTCAGAACGTTATCACAAAATTATTATTCTACCAAGTAGACATAAAACAGGGAATTACTTATCCTTCAAATCTTAAACCATATGAGTAATCAAATTCATTTTAAAATAAAAGCATCTGGAAAGAAAAGACAAGCTGGGAATTGGAAAATAAGCTTAGCAGTTTACCCGCGAGCAAGAGCTGTTATCCTCTGCTAATTGTTCTTGAGCTACAACAGCAAATTGCTGGGCTTGTGCTAGTTTAAATCATCACATAATTAGGCAGGAAGTTGCCATCTTCTATTCTTTAGAAGCAGGACCATGCTTGGCTGGATGTGAGGATTTTTAATGTGCAAAGCCCAAAAAGACTTTAAACAAGAAAAAGGTGGATTTAGGAGCCAGACCTTACAATTGGTGAGAGCTTGGCCAATGTGAGTTGCAAAACCATTGTGGTGTAGATGTGGTACAAAGAAGAGAGCTGGGTGATGGCTGGCACGGCTGAGCTTGGGCTTCCCAAACATCTTCTCTTCCTCCCTTGTGCCTTATAATGGTAAGCCTAGTTACATGAGGTTTTTGCAGCTGAAGCAGGTTACATCCTAGGATTTTCTATGCATTCGTTAGAGCCTTTTCTGGTTTGGTTCTTAATCCTGAAGTGTGTGCATGAATCATCCTTGTTAAAATAAATACTTAAATGTGATAGAAAAGCTGTAACAATAATTCCATGTGCACTCCACTCTGTTCTTTAAACTCAATCTCTTTAGTATGTATTTTAAAAGGTTATTTTCACAGCCTGTCAATGAGAACATACAGTAACAAGCCCACAGATAGGAAATCTCTGATCAGTATGGTTCTGAGTCAGCACAGGATGGTTGTTGTATCAGACCAGCTCTGGAAAAAGGATATACGAGGCATCTAAACCCAAACTGCAGATCAGCACATTTCACTGAGCACTCTGGGATCTGCAACTGGGACAGAATGGTTTCTACCTTTCCTACTGAGGTCAGGTGAGATAAAATTCCAAGCAAAAAGCAGTCGTGGTTACTCTTCTCTCAGAAACATGTCAGAAACCCTTTTGACCTCCTTCAGTGGTTCAGGAATTAAAAATAAGTAAAATACAAAGTGTTTGGCCCCAGCCAGCCTGAACATCCCTCTTGACTACAGGTGGGTCTCTGTCAGATATTTCATCCTGTCTGCATGGCACGGCCTTGCAGCAAGCAGGAAGCTCAGGGCTGGAAGGAACACAAACAAATGAAAGAGCCTGAGAAGTAACAGATTCTGGGTTTGCCAAAGGTCTGTTCACTTCTGAAACACATAAGGCATCTCTGGATCCTGACTGCTGCTGTGACCCAATTCCTTCGTTGCAAAGGGTCCCTGATTCAGATGAGTTTGGATCAGGACACTGTGGGGAAATACCCCCTCTGCCTTTGAGTAGTTGGGATTTTATGAATGCAGAGATCAGTAGGTGCCTGTTGCATTGCAGTTGCCTGCTTTAGTTGTTATTTGTGCAGCGGTGCTCTGACACCCTTTCTAGGCTGCTGTTACAGGGAAAAATCTTTGTCATGCATGCTGTTCTATGACTAATGATGCTGATCAGGTGATGCCATTATTGATTATTGCTGCAGACAGAGGGAGGGGTCAGGGACAAATCAGAGAATCACTGAATTGTAGGGGTTGGAAGTCCTGTTGAGACCATGTTACAGATGCTGGGTACAGACGTTCTTGTAGTACTGCACAACTTGCAGAATGTTGCTGTACTGCTGCTCAGCAGATGTGCTCTGAACTCTGCCCTTTTAAACTCAGCTTTCAATGTTTTGTTTCATGAGATTTTCATTACAGCTGCTACTGAAGCTGAATCAGGAACTTCATGCTTTTACTCTTCTGCTTCTCTTTTAGATTCCAAGATGAACTTAGATGATTTCATCAATATGAATCCCAAAGTGGGATGGGGCTCAGTGTTCCCCTTAGTGGACTTTGTGTATCGATTTGGCAGACAGACTGATTGCAGCCCTTCCTTGAAAGGACAATGAAGTAAACAAAGAAGGTGTCTCTGCTTTAATTTTGAGTCGGTTTGTTTTGTTCTGCTGGCCTCACAGTATATTTATGAACTGTTTATATTTCTTTATATGGAATAAGTATTTGGGGAAATCAAATAAAGCCTTTTGTTTTGTAAGAATGAACTTGTTTGTTTTTTAATACATCAAATCAGATGTAGACATCACATTATAAACATATTGCTTTTTCACCTACTTTGCCCAAATTGAAAAGAGTCTTTAAACACTGTGAAAAAAAAAAAAACAACAAAACTTTTGGAAAAGTATGCATGAACTACTGAACAGTGTAGCTCAGCATGCTGAATGTTGCCACGCTTCAGAAGTGAGGATCAGTACATTCATTATTTCTGTCACTTACATAAATTGACCTGGTGCATCTCAATTTAGTCACTACATCCATAAAGGGAACTTCCAAGCACTGTGTAAATCCAGATAAGTTGATGCTTCTGTGCTGTACGAGAGGAGAATTAACTGCCTGACATTTCAGTTAAATTCACCTAATGCTAAGGGGTGCTGGAAGAGGCACTTGCTTTTCCTTCTTCCATTGGCCACACGTTCTTGCCTATCTCCACATGCTTGCACTTGGCATTTGTCTGGCCCCAAGGTAATCTGGGCTAGGAAGCTAAACTAACAGAAGGAAGAAAAGGTTTTTTTCTTCCATTTAGCTCCTTGAACTGGCTTGCTCTGAGGTCAGACAGCTGCTGCTGCTGGTATAAGTAAATCAGCAGGAGCATATGGCTGGGGGGGAAGGGAATGAACAGACTGCCCTACAGAAGGATGGAGACTGCAGTAAACAGTTGTGAAACACTTCAGTCACGGTGAGGAAAAGCACAGTGACAGTTCTGAGTGTTAAGGGGATCATCTTATTTCTATCTACAGAAACATGTAATATACACATGCATGTATTATTACCACATGTCCCGGTGGTTTCAGAGAGTTTATTGAGCATGTTAACAGAAGAGATGGACTGTTAAACAGCTGTGGGATTGATTTGATTTCATCCAGGCATCTTTTTCTGTACCATAAGGGCTGGCTGAATGCAGAAGCTTACATTTTCTGTTGCCAAATGCATGCAGTACAGCTGGGTGCTGAGCAGATAGGTTGCTAACATGGGTTCCTTGGGAGCCAGCACAGACTGAGCAGGAGTTGTTGCAGCACTCCTCTGCAGGGTGGGAGAGCTGATTTGTAGCCTCTGGATAGAGAATAGCAGGATGGAGAATGTGAAGAGCCACGTCTTGTTTGAATGGCTTACATGAAGCACGTCCTAAGTGACTGTATGCTCTGACTTCTGAGCATTCCTCAGCTGAACTTCTGATTTGTTGCAGAACACGAGGTTCTCATCCCTACCTACTTGAGTTTGTCATTTGATTTAAATACTGAGCTACCACCCTGAGCTGTTGTTTGGGGGCTGAAATCTATGATGCTCCCTTTAGTGAGGCCTAGGTAAAAGGAGATGCATGGTTTAGTCTAATCTCAGGATCAAGGTTTTTTAAGAAAGAGAACAAATACAACCATTATTCAGAATGTACAAGTTAAAAAAAAAAATCAGTGTGAAGAAACGCTCCCTTTTCTCTCTAATCATTCTGAACAGATGCCTAATCTTACATGCAGCAGGTTCAGTGTGTGTGATGGAGGCTTTATTACCATGATTTGTTTGTAGCTCTTGTAAAAAATATGCCATTCCAGGTAACAAAAGGCAGAAGCCAGAGAGCAATCACAGCATTTCCTCTGTGGCCCTTCAAGCCTGGTGGCACTTAGTAACATTGGAGAGGGTGTGCTATCAGAAAGTCAGATTCGGGACCAAGTGCTCATGTAGGGTCCTAAATATGAGGTGTAGCAGAGGAGTGGCTGCTCCCTGATTGCTAACAATAATTAGTGGAGACAGCCCTTTTTTTTAGTGCTGATTAGTCCTAATGGATCCCCCAAGGGACCAAGTGAATTTGTTCTGTGCTTGATCCTTTCTCTCACCAGTTAACTCATATCCTGTTTGCTTTGGAGACCTTATTGTGTTTAATCTTCATGCTGACACTTGAGGCAGACACATCAGTGTTGACTCATCGAGCTTCCAGCTGTGGACAGGCAAGCAGTTTCTTCAGAGCTGCTTTGTCAAGTACCTGCAGAAGCAGAGGATATGAGAGTGCAAGCAAAGAACTGCTGCTGCTGTTTGTAAAGCAAAGAAGGCAGTGTCACTGACAGACACACTTGTGATCACCAATGTATTAAACACCTCTGACTGTGGGGGTAGATAAATGCAGTGCACCGTACAGCAAAGCATGGCTTGGCAGGTACAGCTCCACTCTGGCTGGTACAGCCACGCAGCCCATAGATAGCACGCATGGAACACGTCCTGCTGTGAAACATGAAATAAAATGAAAGCTTTGCCATCACCTCTGGGCTGGTTGGTGCTACTGACAGCCCCTGAGATTTTTAACCTGCCATGTCTAGATTATGTCCTGAGGCATGCAGCACAAAGGCATGCTGCTGATTTGCCTTTAGTATGACGATTTCTTAATGCAGCTTAGCTTTCTGCTCTCTTTCATCCTTCTTTAGCTTGTCCTTTCCCACAGTAAAATTTGCCTGTCTTTCTGTTGTTCTTTATCATTATGGCATTTATGTGCTGAGGGCACCTGGACAGCAGCTTTTCAGTCTTGGCCACCCTTGAGTTAGGCACTGAACAAGCAGAGAAGGAAGTTCTTCACAATCCCATTCTCTCTTAGCTTCTGCATGCCGTTGGTGACTGGAAATTGTGCAACACTTTCACTGCTGGAAATGTTATGGCAGGACCCTGCCAGCCCTACCTCCGTGCTGGGCGCCCCGTCTCACAGGTTGGCCCTCTCATTTCCTTGGAACTATGGGTGCAGTTCTGTGGGAGGTAGGAGACCCACATCTATCCTGCTGCTTTCTCTTCTTTGCAGCTTCTCTGTAGTTAAGAATATCATTTGCTTTATAGCTAACCTCTTGCTTATCTGTTTGGGATGTTAGGAAAGGAAAAAAAAAAGATGTTTTTTTAACACATTTTCTTGGCTCTTAAATTTCTGTGAACATAAACAGTCAGGCTCAACTCAAAGCTGGTGAAAATGCCATTTTTGAGCCAGCCAGCAGAGAGAGCAGTCAGCACGCAGCAGGCAGGCAGTGTGGCATCTGCTTCAGTTCTAAACAACCTCAACAGCAGCACGGGGCTGATCTGTGTCTTAGGGGGCTGCCTGAGGTCTGTTAGCTCCTCCTGAGCATCAAGGGCCATGTGGCAAAGTCTCCCTGCTGCCTGCCAAGCCTTGAGTTCTACTCAGCGTTCACAATTCTACTGAATTGAGTGCGTAGCACCTTAGAATATCAAACTAATCAATGTACAGGTTTCAGAAGCTAAATTTAGGCACTCAGGACACTGCAATATGATCTGCGCTATTAAATGTACAGCTGGGAGGCACCGGGCTGCGTTGATATGAATCAGATTCCAGGATCAGAGCCCAGGTCGGAACGTTGTGGCCTGCAGGTCCATTCCCTCCTTGCCTGCTCATCAGCCAGCCAGGGCCTCGTGCATGCTGTAATGCACGACCCTGCTCCAGCTAGATACTGTACAAGCGTCCATCTTTAGGGTCTGCTTTTCTCTTGCTATCACAGAATCACAGAATATCCTGTGTTGGAAGAGACCCACAAGGATCATCGAGTCAACTCCTGGCTCCATGCAGGACCACCCAAAAAGCAGAGCATATGTCTGAGAGCTTTGTACAGACATTTCTTGAACTCTGCCAAGCTCAGCACCGTGCCCACTGTGCTGGGGAGCCTGCCCCAGGGCCCAAGCACCCCACGGTGTCCCTGCTGCTGCCACCATCACCTCCCACTGAGGAACAGATGGCCGAGGTTTGATGGGGGTGCCCTTCTAAGACCCTTTGGATTTGCAGGCTTGGAGATCTCATCTCTTCTCACAATGAAAGCTACCTTGACATTTGTGTCTTCTAAGGTAATTGCCTACTCAGAAACCGGGGGGGAGCAAACACTGGTGAGTTCCATCTGCCCTCTGGCCATCGTCTTGTGCAAGATGAAGGGTCCGTGGGTATCTGTGCAGGTTTGTGCAGCGGTTGTGCAGAGCTCTCGGCCAGGATCTGCTTTCCTCCTGCAGCCATGGAGTCCGCAGGGCAGCACTCGCTGTGTTGGGCTGAGTGCAGCTGCAGTAGTGGTTCTGGAAAATCTCTCCAGTTTGGCCTAAGATAAACAAATACGGTTGCTTAAGTATCTTCAATGTTTCCTTATACTTACAGTAGGAAATACCTTGGTTACTGAGGGCAGCTAAAACAAATCTTGCTTAGTTATCTAATGCCTCTGGCAAGCCCCTGGGTTTCTGGGTGAGCTCAGCCACTTCCTATGCAGGAGGCAAAGAGCTTCGTTTTGTGTTGACAAAAATAAGTGTGCGAAGGACCTGAATTGCAGACGGTCCCTCACGGCCTCTGGGAATGGACTGGTTCACCTGGAGCTCCAGACGAGCAGGGTGTTTCCAACCAGCTGGATTCCTGACATTACATTACTTCAAAGCAGGAAATGCTCATTTGGCATTGGGTTCAGCGTCATACAGCCTTCCCATGCAGGCCTATATCTGGAACCCAAACACTGCAATAAAGCAGGAATCATTATATGTTATGATTTTTTACGTGGCCTACACAGCGAGAATATGGTAGTTATCTCAGCCTTCCCTTCTTCTGCGTGTGTAATTGCGGCGTCACGCATCCCACCACCTTGGCATGGCTGGGAGGGTGGCAGTGCCCCAGCTCCGATCCGAGCCTCCAGAGAAAACATTCTGCTTTAACTGTTCAGCTGCAGAGCCTCCTCTGTGCCTTCCAGTT